GTGATGTGTCGCTGCCATCAAATTCAAAATTACTGATTTTATTTTCTTAGAATTTTCGCTGCTTAAACATTCAATATGTTCTATTGCTAATAAATTATGGGTTAATTAGATTTGCAAATGATTGTATTCAGGGGGTTTTTCTCTTCCCGGTGTAGAAGTCTGTGGGAAAGTGGCCTTTGCCTTCTTTCTTGCTGAATACAGCATGATGTTACTGTTGCAAATGATGGTCCTTATTAGAGTGAGAATTGGAAATAAACCAGAGCGCGCCATTGACAAGCAATTTGTCAATCACAAGTCATCAGTGTGTGTGTTGTCCGAGGGTTTCACAGTCACCCCTCATTTATGACATCTGCTTCCAAAAAGATGCCAGTTTGAGACTTCAGAGTGGGATGTCACTGACACCATCCTTTATATACAGACTGTGGTGAAAAACATTGGATATGGAAGGTGAGGTTTTTGTAGTTCATCTTCTTAGATGTTGTAGTTTTAATGCAACAGACTCATATCAGCAACATCCGTTATGAGCTTATCAAGCAATCCAGCACAAGTGCAGATTCTCTGAGCACTGTGGTGGTTTTCCCCAAGTCTCCTTCACCTCGTGATGTTTTCCATCAAGGTGAAACAACAACAACATAAACAACAACAAAAATGTGATTAGGGAAAAGCATTGGAGTTTTGTTTTTGTTTTTGACCACAGCCTGTTTTTTCCATCCCATTTGAAGCTTTGTGTTTTTCACCCACTCGCTGTTCACCTGCTTGTTGGCTTTACTCACCAAAAATGGTCAGACTGCAAAGTAACCACTTTTATTTCAGCCTGTCATTGGTGACATAAAATACTGTGAAGAAGACTTGAGTGACTGCTCATTTTTTCATATTATGTTTCCAAGGAGCAAGACTCTTCCCCCCCCCCAAGTAATGTCGAGCAATAACTCTCCGGTTCTCCGAAGCTCTTTCAAGTTCTTCTTTGGTAAATGAAAGACTGGCTGTCAAGAAGCCACAGTTAAGGAAGGGAAATAGAGAAAAGGGCCAAATTACACAAGAACAGGACTGAAAATGAGGGTTAACAGATCTTTTATGGTCATTAATCCAAACTTGTAGTTTTTGGTTCAAGTCGTCATCAGTGTGTCTACAGGCATCTGTAAAACACAGTGGAAGCTCTGTCTTGGTTTGGGGCTGATTAGCAACAGGTTCACTGTTTAGTGTAACAATGATCCCAAACACACAATCATTGCAGTACGAGTTCACCTGGAGAGAAAAATAAACCACAATGGCTCACTATCAGGCATGGATTGGCCTCCCCAGAGTCCAAACGTCAACACTATGGAAGTACTCGACAGAGAACTGAACAGAAAGCAGCCAACATCCAAAGAAGAGCTTTGAAGAGCCTTTATGAAGCCTGGAGAACTGCATGTCTTTCAATAAGTTGCTGAAATAATTTTACATTCTTGTAGCAAAATATAAAGAAATGATGGGTGGCTCAAGACTTTTGCACAGCACTGTATTGGCTTTTGCATTGCATGAATTCCACTAAAAGTATTCATGGATGTTCAGTATTGTGGGTGGCTGACGAACTAGAAACGAACATTTCTTGAGCAGTAAAAGTAGAGCTTCAAAACATGCTGCAGCTCAGTTACACTCAGAAGAGTTTTCCTTTACCAAAAAGGTTTCATTTAGTATTCTTTGTAATGAGAAAAAGGAGCAGGGAATGCTTTGGGAATAGGAGAGCTTACAGCTGGATGGATGTTTCACATCAGCCTTTTGTGAGCAGTATGAATTTTGCTCTGTTGCCTTGTCAGTCAGCTTAATCTACCATTGGAACGTGAGGGCCGAGTCGGACGGTGCAGGAGTCCAAATGTAACAACTCATTTTGTTCCAGTGCTTGAACGGCCTCTCGTGGCCTTCAGAAGCAACCAGGTCAGTGAAGGAAAGACTGACTGTTGGTCTCCTCACGCTAACATTTCACTTACAGTTTATCAGAGCGTCGCCTTGTTGAATGAGGAAGTATAAAATCTGCACAAGTCTGCGTTAGTAAGAAGGCATGGGGTCGATGGCAACAATCAGAGGATCACAGTTCCTGCCTTAGTATTATAACGAGCGGCGTAGAAGCGAACATCAGATCAGATCAGAAACTTTATTGTCATTGTCACGAGAACAACGAAATGAAGAATGGTCCCCGATCATTGCATCATCCCTAGCAATATCAAAATATAAATAAAACAATAAAATTCAATAAATAAAATAGATAGAATACTTAAAATACTAATAAGATGTAACAGTAAAACATTCACATACATTCCCACACACATGCTTCAGACCGTGCATAGATTAACACAAGAGTGGCGTGATGGACATTTTTTTGTAGTATTCAGATGTGTTATTGCAGTTGGATAACAGCTGTGTTTGAGTCTATTAGTCCTTGCTCTGATTGCCCTGTACCGTCTGCCTGAGGGCAACAGTTCGAACAGGGAGTGGCCAGGATGTGAGGTGTCTTTTATGATGTTTTGGGCCTTTTTAAAACAGTGGGCGTTGTGTAGAACTTCCAGTGTGGGGAGAGGGCAGCCAGTGATCTTTTGGGTGGTGTTAATGATCCCTTGGAGTGCTTTCCTCTGAGCCCCTGTGCAGCTAGTGTACCAGATGCATATGCAGTAAGTTAGAACACTCTCAATGGTGGCTCTGTAGAAGGACACCAGCAGTCTCTGTGTGATGTTATTCCTCCTGAGAATTCTCAGGAAGTACAGTCTCTGTTGGGCCTTTTTCAGCAGCTCGGAGGTGTTCACACTCCAGGAAAGGTTCTCCTCTATATTGACTCCCAGGAAGCGGAAGCTTGCCACCCTTTCTACACAGTCCCCATTTATGAATAGTGGTTGGATCTCTGCCTTTTTCCTTCTGAAGTCTATTATGAGTTCTTTGGTTTTTGAAGTGTTGAGGAGGAGGTTATTGGCCTTACACCATGACGTCAGCTGCTCCACCTCGTCTCTGTACGTAGACTCGTCTCCCTTGGAAATGAGCCCCACCACTGTGGTGTCATCTGCAAATTTCACAAAGATGTTGCTGTGGTGGCGAGGAGTGCAGTCGTGTGTGTAGAGAGAGTAGAGCAGTGGACTGAGCACACAGCCCTGGGGTGAGCCAGTGCTGAGACTCAGGACTGAGGATGTGTGATGGCCAACTCTGACTCTCTGTCTACGGCCCGAGAGGAAGCTGTTGATCCACATGCAGGTGCTGTCTGGAAGCCCCAGGTCTTGTAGCTTGGCCACCAGTTTGTGTGGAAGGATGGTGTTAAAAGCTGAGCAGTAATCCACGAAGAGCATCCGCACATAGCTACCATGCTCTTCCAGGTGAGTTAATGCAGCATGGAGTGCTGTGGCTACAGCGTCTTCCGTGGATCGGTTTGCTCTGTAGGCAAACTGGTGTGGATCCAGGCTGCGGGGCAGGGCTGCTGTGATGTGTCTGCGGACCAGCTTCTCAAAGCATTTCATTACCACTGGGGTGAGTGCCACCGGTCTGTAGTCATTCAGGCCGGTGATGTGGGGCTTCTTAGGCAAGGGGACTATGGTGGAGGACTTCAGGCAGAGTGGGACAGTCGCCTGTGCGAGGGATTTGTTGAAAATCCTGGTGAAGATCCCAGCCAGCTGTCCTGCACAATCCCTCAATATTCGACCTGGCACACCATCAGGACCCGCCGCCTTCCTCGGGTTAACAGCCTGCAGCATGCGCCTCACCTCATGCTCTTCCAGGGTGAGGGTGGTGCTGCTATGGGTGGCGTGTTGCTGCTGTGGCTCCAATACCTCTGGTACCCTGGTCTCAAAGCGGGCGAAGAAGATATTCAGCTCCTCTGCCAGCTCCAGGTCACCGTCCGCAGCTCCGAGATTGATCTTATAGTTGGTTAGGTGCTGGATGCCTTGCCACACCTGCCGGCTGGTATTACTCTTCAGATGGTCCTCAATCCTCCTCCTATAGTCCCCCTTTGCCTCTCTGATGCCTCTCTTCAGGTTGGATCGGGCTATGGTGTAGTAATCCCTGTTGCCAGACCTGAACGCAATGTTCCTCTCCTTCAGCAGCTGCCTGACCTCCCGGGTCATCCAGGGCTTTTGGTTGGGATAAGCCCGGATCCGTTTGACTGCTGTAACAGTGTCTATGCAGTGTTTTATATAGCAGAGGACACTGTCTGTGAACATTTCCAAGTCCTGATGTTCAAAGATATCCCAGTTAGTCCTGTCAAAACAGTCCTGCAGCTGCTGAGAGGCACCCTCTGGCCATATGGTAATATTCTTTGTGATGGTAAGAGCAGTTTTCTACATCATAGTATTATTAGCATTTAGGATCATTTTTATTAGTACCTCATCTTACTGAACTCATATTTATGTTAGAGTTTAAAGGAAGTATCAGTTTAAACTAACTTGACATGCTTGTCTTTGGAGATGTAGGCAGAGGAAGCAGTGAGGCGACAGTGCTAACCAACCCTGTGACAGACTGCAGACCTGTCCAGGGTGTGCTCCACCTCTGCACTCCCAGCTGGCATAGGCTCCAGCCCCCCTGCACACCCTGAACTGGATAAACAGAACAGGATGGATTTTTAAATGACCTGAAAGCTTCATGTAAAAATGGCTCTTTTAAAACTAGAAAATGTAAAATAACTGTAATTAGTATTTTGAATACTAATATTTTGTTATCATGTGACAATTTTAAAATAGCGGGGGGAAATTACAGCAGTGTCTGGACTCATGGAGTGGTTTCAGCTCACTGTTTAACTGTTTGGCTACAGCTTTACTGGTTTGGCCCTCTCACTGCTCTCCTATTGTGCCCGGCCAAATCGAGCTGCTATTTTCAGATGAAACACCTCCGAAAATTCATTGAACACGATCTGCTCTGCGCCAGTCAGTTTATGGAGGGAGGGAAAGGTTACATGTACTAGAGTTGTATAATTAAAATATGTAAAGATGTCAAAATATCACAATATCAGTGATTACAAATGGGTTACATCTTTATTTCTTTCAGAAAAAAAGGGTTTATGTAAAATATAACGTTCATTCTTTTGCTTTTCACCATGCTGCAGTCTCTTCCTTTGGCATCTTTTCCACAGTCCTGGTCAGTAAAACCATTGGGGACTAATGTGAGTGAAACATCACCAAGGGTAGAATGGCTTACAAGGAAGTAGGACAAGAACTCCTTTCAGTGCCTGAAATTCATTAAAAGACCTAACATGACTGTACATGTATATAAATATAAATACTGGAAATATTCTCACTCGGATACCTGAGGAAACAGATGGTGCACGACTCTCCTGCTTTAATAACCAGTTAAAAACATGTTTGCAAAGACATGAAAAGTAACCACATGTGAAAAGAGTAAACACTGCAGTAACCTGTTAGTGCTGTTGTTATTGTGTGCACCAGTTTATGGTTTAAATGTTTTTATTTATGTAAAGGAAAACACAAGAACCAGACACAGGCAACAATTCACCGTAGATTCCAGTGTAACGTAATGAGGTACTCGAGTATTCTGTATCACTTTTGGATAATTTCTCTCACCTTGCCCATCCCTGCTGAGTCAGCACACACAGGCATGATTAACTCTTCAGTCTCTTTTATGTGTTTAGCTGGTTACAGATGCAGAGTCGGGGTTGATGACTGTGTCTGATATCAGGCGCCTTTTGTTTGAGAAACTAACCTGCTTATGTGCTTTTTTTTGTATTTCTAAGACCTTCGAGTTTAATACATCAGATGTGTTTCAAAATATTTTTATAAACCCAGATGAAGTTTTACTCTTTCTCTGCATGTTAATTCAGCTGCATTTAATTTTATTTGCACTCATGTTTACAGTTTTATTTACAGTGATGTGAAAACCTGAGTACACTCAGTGTTTCGGTAGCTTTCAGAACCATCTTTAACAGGAGTAACTTCAAATGTTATCATATCATTATTATTAGATCATTATCACACTTCTAAACAGCTCATGGAGGTTTGGAGACACATTTATGCACAGCTCTCTTAACATCTCGCTGCAGCATTTCAGCCTGTTTGAGGTCTATGAGAGCTTTAATATTTAACAAGGAGCTTGACGATGAAGGTAAAGATTCTGCAGTATTACACAGAAGATCCTCCATGAGCAATCACAGAGGAAGAACTGCCCACTATTAATAGCAAAGCCATGAAGTATTCCAACTCAGTCGGTATTACTGTAATGTAACAGGTTACTTTAAACTGCAGTAAATATGTTGCATTACTTTTGAGAAATAATGTTACCTAATGCTATTGTAGTTTAACAGTGGTATGTATAAAAGCAACCCCCACCGAGTGCCAAACAAAGTGCACAGCAGGAGTTGGTAGACACCAAAAAAAGGCTAAAAGCAGGTTGAGACTGCACAGACAGCTCCCCGTGAATCTTTGCTGTCATAACATCAGACGCTTTATTTCATTGTAGTTTTGGCTTTAAATTAAGATTGTTGATTAAGCAGACAGGACACTTGAAAACTGAATATTATACACAAGATTTGTCTGGATTTGGTTCACTCAGCATCATTTTCAGCCACAGCAGGAAACTGTCAGCAGAAAAGCTCTTATGAACTCCCAGTACACTCCCTGTACTCAGCACCAAGTGCCAAACAGACAGAGTTAGCAACACAGACAGCAGTATTTCATCGACCAAGTATTTCTCTCCAGAGTTGGAGGAGAAACTGAGCTAAAACAGTAAATATTGCACTTATATTTGCCAGGCAGACACAAACAAAACTCCGAATGAGCACAAATGATGCTCCATATGTGTAAATACCCAAGTCTATCGTGTTAAACATTAAGGAAAAGCTTTCAAACTAAATCATATAACTGTACTGGAATAAAACACATAATAGGCTGGAATTAGCTCAACATACCATCGACTGTTTTCAATCATCCTGAACGCTGCAAAGCCAGTGAGATGGAAGCAACCATTTGGGATTACTGTACATCGTGTAATTCATATAAAAATAGATAAAAATGCCCTCTAATCAGGGGTAGGCGGCACACCTCCTCCGGTTGCTCTTCTTGAATGGATAAACCACACTCCTTTTATAACACAGAAGCTACTAATCCACAGGCTTCATTCACTACAGTTTACTCTGTGTGTCTTGATTTTGGTGCAATGTTTCGCTGATTTTGTCGGGAGTAGAAATAAATCGCCACGCTGCGTTCTTTCTTCACACCTGCATGTATCAGCGCATAGTTGGAGAAGGAAGGATGACCGGTTGATAGCGAGACGGAGGGAGAGAGAAAGAAACCAAAACACTGGAGTTCCTCCGGCTCCCAAAGCCGGTCACCACAGACTCTTGTGTTAAATTAACCAAACGTACTAATAAACATCTTGAGGCCACAACAGTTTCCTCCTTTCGTAATCGATGTATGGTGGTCAAACTCCACCTGAATACTGGTGAGGCTTAAAGTTGGGGGCGTGGCTACTGTGATGGGTGTCCTATCATTGAGCTGGACTGCTCCACTGTGTTTGTGCTGTTGGTGCCATTTGGAGCATTTTAATGGAATTGTGTGACAATGTGGCCGCGGTGTGAGACAGACCGCCCAAGAAAACAGAGCTCCGGTGTTTGATGAGTGACATTGTATTACTTCATTATTCTGTAGAGACATGTCTCAGTATCTGCACACTCTATCAGTGTTAGCTGACAACTCGGCCCTGTCGTCTAAATATGATCACTTCTGGCTCAGACTGGCAGCAACCTAACGCTGAGGTGACATCACGTCACCATGTCCATGAACTAACGGCTTAAATGAATATGGCTTCCGACCACCGTGATCCTCCGCCACATTAAAGCCTGTTTCGGAAGATTCTGGAGGGAAAATTCCTCCATTTGAATTCATAACTCTGTGGCAGGTGGAAATGAATTGCTTTCGGGTGCTGCTCTGTATTTTACGCAGTCTGCAAATCACTCTCACACCCTCTCCCCACCCCTCTCACTATGCAGTGGATGGAGTTAGGCTCAGAGCTTTGGGTGAAGTTCCACTTTGACCAAACGGCCCCTAAATGCTCAAGAAAACATGATTTTTAGACAAGTTGAGAAGAAATGGGGCCTTTTGGAGCCATTTCTGTGTTAATGCGTTTTGTGGGACAAACATTTTGTTTTTGATAGAAAGGATCAAGAGATACGGTTGCATTTTTAGATTCTGTGTTACTGGTTCTGATGTTGGTGAAATATATTTCTGAGAGTATTAGAGACATCGCAGCACCTAAGCCACTTTACAGAAGCTGCCATTTTAATTTCAGGCATGAAGCAAGCAGCAGCGGAGAATTTGTAGCAGCAGACAGCATCATTTTCAACCCCCACAACTGGCTGCTTCTTCTGCACGCGTCGAGGCTTCTGTTAAAATGTAACCATCTTTCTAATGTCTCCTTATCACTTTAAGAAGTTGCTTTAAAAAGAGGAAGTCCTGTGGTAAATCCTTGATGTACCGTTCATCGTGCATTAGCAGATTGCTAGTGTTTTTAGGGCTAAATCAGCTTCAGTGTAAGAAACACTAAAGGACATGAGTCTTTTTCTTTTTTCCATTTAGACGTATTTTTTAGATTAGTTGTCGAAGCTTAAATGAAATTAAATAACTATTTTACCCATTTAGCTCCATACACTTCTACTCATGAGCGCCCCTGATGAAATGCAGCCCTGTGGTCTTAACAGGAAGTGGAATGGTTCTCCTGGACTGGCTCTGGTTTAACTTAAACAGTGATGGCATGTCAGTGCTGAGCTACCTTCACCCTAAGGGGGAAGTGGAGTTTTAAAATGATGCTAACAAATGCTGGCAGCCACACAAATTAAAATGTGTGGTTTCATTTCATTAAGTCAGACTGCATCAGTTCACTTTACTTTGGAAACCGCTGTCGGTTTTGGAGACGGCAACAGTGAACGCTGCACAGTATGTGACACTTTCCTTTGTGTAAAGAGTAAACAGGGAGGGTGGTGAAGCACTGTCAAAACAACTGGGATTTCATTTCAGCGTAAGTGTGGTTTTAATTTGATGCTGATTAAGCAGACGTGACACTTAAGAGCTGATTATTGTGCACAAGATCTGTCTGCAGGGGGAAAAGGAAAAATGAAAGAAGGACGAGGAACGGGAGGAAAAGGGAATGGGAATGAGACCAAAGAGGACTTACAACATCTGCTGGCCTGCATCATGTCTGTCCACGTGCCGTTGGGTAAGCACTTCCTGACCTTCGGTCCCACGATCACTCGGTTGCCTCTGCAGATGTACTCGATCTCATAATCCACAGGCAGGATCTGCACACTGCGGATCTGTGACGAGAACAGGGGCAGAGAGATCAGGGGAAGGAAAGTGTGATTGATGGTCTCTCATGCAAGTTTTTCTCCTTCACTTAAGAAGCCTCTTCATTCTGTGTCACAGTGCCATATGGCCATGACAGTAAAGCTCGACAAGGGAAAACATTTTAGTGTGATACTGTCTGAACTGATGTGCTGTCGCTCTCTGAATTACATCTCCTCTGCCTGTGAGGGGACGGAAACATATGCGAGCCAAAAAGATTTATGTTTCATTTTAAATGGCTTTGGTCATAGCTGCATACATACATTTGAACAACGAACAATAAGGAAGCAGTTTGAAACTAAGGAACCGTTTTCATGTTGAAGAAAAGCTTCACTGCTTGCAGTTTACAGTTTACAGTGCATATGCAATCATTTTAACCCAGTAAAGCCTGAACGATGGAATAACTGCTAGAAAATTCAAATTTTGCAAAGCAGAATGTTTAATGGAGCCTCTGACAAATGAAATAAAAGATTCAATTAAATATCAATTTGATTAAATGAGATTTAATTGGATCATTTTATGCTACATTAATTTCTCAGTTTGTTTATCTTAAACAAATATATAAGGGAGTTAGGTTTTTAAAAAAGAAAAATCACACAATGATGAAGATCTCATGGATCAAATATGACACTCTTGGCATTAAAGGATTAACTGTTGTAACGACTGAGACACTTTTATGAAAGTTTTGTATATTCATTACTCGTTCATTCTAAAATGAGGGGGTAAAAGTAAATGTCATTTGGGGCTTTACTGCAACAGAACACCATATTATTTCATATCTAGGACGTTGTCACATTTGCAAACTTCACAGATCTGCCATTGGTTAGATATCAGTTTGAAATGTGGCCACCTTAATCCAAAAAGCTTCTAATATCAAAAGTTTGCCCATTACCTATTTGCAAAGATGATAAATATATTTATCTGAATTAGGAAGACATGTGTGTCTAAAGTAAATCTTTTCTATGTGATGTAATAGTGTGGCTGTATTTCTATAATCCTCAAGTAGAATAAAATGTGTTTTGGATTTTTTTTGCCCCCAACCTTTAAGAGGGACAGTTTACACCAAAAATCAAATTGACATATGTTTCCTGTGGCCTGTAAAGCTGTTTATCTATCCAGACTGTTTTCTTGCTAGCTTCCCTATTTTGGGAACATCAGCTGTAGAAATGTCTGCTTCCTTTTGAATATAATGGAACGAAATGGCACTCGCCTTATGGTGTTTACATAATGTATTGCACAAATTCTACAGCAGATCTCATGACCCAGTTAATCAAATAAATGAATAAATAAATAAATCACTGTTCAGAAGGAATCGGGCATCAACCCCAACAGAGGCTCGTGTCAAACACGCAGCTAGCTGGGATGTTAGCTAGCTAGGACTAAGTACTAGCTAAAAGCAGGAACTGCAGGATGAGATCTAGCGAGAAGTGGCGTCCCTCTGAGCCAACCTCAGTGCTTTTATCCACACCTTGGCAGGAGCAGACAACTCAGCAACTAAGCTGAAGCAATACCAGGTCACGATAGCAAGTCTGAAGCACTTTGACTTTTTTCTTTTTCTAAAATATGAATGTTTAATATACAAACTCATAAAATTGATGCAGCAAAGGCTGACCTATGAAACATATATTTTTTTAAGCAAAACTTCAAGATTTTCCACAGAGCCACTAAATTCTGAATGACTTGATAAGTCAGTGGATCTCCAACTTGTTCTGGCGTACCCTCACTTAAAGAAGAGAAAAAGAAACATTAATAATACCACACACTATTTTTTTCAAAAACATTAAAAATAAAATGGGATCCAAGTTGAATTTTTAGAGAAATAAAGCTCGGGATGATAGCACAGGCAAACACTCATTATATTTCCATCCTGTTTTTTCTCTGATCGTCACCAGCTGACCTGCGGTGGCTCCATGCCCCACAGCTTGAGAAACACTGTGATACAGTAAGTTCTCTAAAACTGAACCATTAGCTTAAAGTTGTAATAACCAGATAATATTGATGGAGCTTTCTTTTTCCAAATGGACAGAGTTCCCTTTAAAGCTATAAAAAAAAAACCAACAGTTTTCATGTGGAACCACTAAACTCTCGATTTCTATTCAACTGATCTTCAGCCATAAAAATCCATAGTTTGTCCAACTAATGTCAGACTCGGCGTGTTTGTCAAGTGATGTTTATCTGTTTAGGAAAATGAAATCTGGGGCATTTTAAGATTTTGCTTGAGATTCTGTAGTCTGGTTATGCTGTTAAGTGCTTTGAGTGGTCAGTGAGGCCGACCGCTAATTTGATGTAAATGACAGCTTCAGCTGACTGACTATTGACTGAATGGAACTGCGAATAAATCAGAGCTGGAAGTCAGAATAGTCGGAGAACTTTGTGAACACGTTAATTTGAGAATCAGGCAACGTAGAATTTTCTTATTGATAACACAGGTGTATCTACTTGACCTCAAGGTCAAGGTCACAGGACAAATTTTCTGAAAACCTTTAACTCGAGAAAGATGTCAGTATTCTTTTGTGCTGAGGAAAAGATAAAAAAAACAAACAAAAAAAAAAAACAGCTGATACACTTTTATTTTATGACCATCCAGCAAAAACAGCATCAAAAGGCTATTTGACTTACAAACAATCAAAAACCACAATGGTCATAAAGCAATAATACCAGGCGTAGGAGATGCCTGCGCTCTCAGTGGTTTATGTTTATTAGAATTTTAGCACGTGTTATTCCTGGTTCTTGCTTAGCCATGTGCTTTTTGAATTGATATGCTGAATAAAGTCACTAAGGCTCATGTGCACCCCACTAAGATCGACTGAGACCTGGGAATTATGTGTTCTCAAACTTGTACTTCCAGAGGATTTGTGCCACCTAACAATTTCTACTGGCTGGAGGTTGAGGGGTAGCAGCCTCCTGGCAGGGCCACCAGTGTTTTTAAATTATACCATTACTACTCATCATAGACAGGGTGCCTTACTCAAGCCAAGCTGTAAACGTGGTGTAAACGAACACCAATCACAACAGGATCATTCTTTATATCAAGCAACAAGGCAATCTTACTTTAGTTAATAAAGTGGATTTGTCTTAATGGCAGCAGGTCATTGCTGCATTTTTCTCTGAAGCATCATTATTATTTCTGCTAATAATGACACTATAAACGTGGCTCATGCTGAGAAATCCAGCTTTAAAAATCCCTCCAAGTTTAACCCTCCATTTTTTTTTACACTCCTCCCAGCTCACTCTAACCTGCTCAGCTCCTCTGACTCACACTGCGCTACAAACTCCATTCAACCTTTAAAATATTCACAAGACTTTGAACTTCCAGTGTCTATATTGTCTTTTATGTTTCTGAAGGAATTAAGTAAAAAGTGACTTATTTTTGAGTATGAAATAGACTTTTTCCTGAGCTGCTCTCAGTGTCACAGTACTGCCAAACACTCCTTTCATATAATCTCTGTATAAGCACATGCTCAGCTACTTCTGCTGCAACTGAGCCGATTCATTGTTTCTCATTTGGTGTCAACTCGGTCGCCTCGGTACCGTTCAGAGTCCAAAAATAAAGAATTTGATCGAATCGCTCAGCATCCAGTTCCTGTTCTGATCCCTCTCTGTTATCAGAGCTGGTTGGTGTATCCGTGTGTGTGCGCTTTGCCCTTAAATCATTTTTTAACACACTGCCATGTTCCCATTCACTGCCCACGTCAGTGACTGTAGTGACTGTTTAAAAGCCACCGAGGGACTGCTCTTCAGAAACTGAAGTGACGCATGCTTTCAATCAAACTGCCAAGTTTCCATCATCAAAGCGCAAAGAGTCATCGCTGTTTCCGAGATGTTTAAAACAATTTTCAGGCTTGTGTGCCGCCCTGCGTTCTTAGTCAGATATAATACACAAAAAGTGGTGTTGTTTTACTGTTTAAACATCACTTTATGTAGCAGCGTTTAGTAAAGGGTCAAAAAGTTTGAGCATGAACTCTAACGTCAACTCTAACGTCAAGAATAATAAATTACCAGATCACAATTATTGATGCATTGATGTGTTTAACACTTAAATCTTACTGATATACAGAATCAAGTATTATTGGATTTTTACAAAGTGCATCTGCATCCAAAATGTAGTATAGTACGAGTAGGTGGTAGTATAACATGGAAATACTTAAGTGCATTACCACTAGGGATGGGTACCGGTATCCGGTGCCATCTGACATAAACGGTAGTAACCAGACCGAAAAGCAGCGCACACTTCGGTGCTTTTTTTTCCCAGAGATGTCATACACTTTGGATTCTAGCCAATCATTTTACCTTTCCGAGGATAGTAGGCGGGCCCAGGTATGTACGTTCTTTTAGAGCAGAGCTACAGATTAAAAATGCCCAAAGCGAAGCGGTCAAAAGTCTGGCTGTACTTCACAGCAAAAGATGCAAACTCAGCAGCAACAAGTGCTTTAAGGTGATACTGTGCAAAGGAGGTAACCCCTCGAATCTGATGAAACACCTGGCGACGCATTGCGTTTTTTTATAAAAGCTGAGAAATGCACCGTATTTGATAGCTTGCTGCGAGACCTCACACCGAGCGCATCTACTGCGGGTGGGTTGCCTGTTATGCAACATCCCCAAAAACACGAAGAGGAGAGTCCTGGCCCCTAGCCCTGCCAGTGTAGCAGAAATGATGAGGATGATGATGCAGCAGCAGCCGTTCTTCTCTGCGTGAGTAGCTTCATGTTGTTCGTGTGTAATTTACGTTGAGTAGGCTAACCACGTTATTACATTAATGCATGTAAGGTGAACTAGCAAACATCATCATAGCTACATGCGGCTGTCTTCTTGTTTGATGGCAGATGCTCCCTTCACCCTGGCTAAAAAGGCTAAAATGACCAAAGAAAAAGTGGAAAACAGTTAAACATGAGAGGTTTTTGGACCAATTTTGTGTTCTCCATTCTTTAAGCACCGGCACCGTTTCAAAAGTACTGGTTTGGCACCGGATAAAACCTAAACGATACCCATCCCTAATTACCACTACTTTAGTAAAGTACTTGAGTAAACGTACTAATTAACTTTCCAGCACTGGCCCTGTCCACACACTCATATCACTGGGCACTTTAAGATAACAGTACTCCAGCCGACATCATCAAAATCAAGGCCTGTGGGACGAATCCATCCCCATGCACACTTTAATCCAGCTGGCATATCACTTTAAACGCTTGATAAAATTTTGGCCTGCCAGGTTGTAGCTGTAGTTTGCACAGTGCTGCGGCACCCTGTACACAGCTCGAGTAAACAGAGGCTTCAGAAAGTCACTGAACTGGAACGAGGCATGCAGCTACAGCAAAAAATATCTCTGAGAGCCCAATCGCAGAGTTTTTGGAACAGTTAAGTTGAATGTTTATGTGAAGCCAGTTTCATGGTAGCATGTTGGGCCGTATGTTAGAGCTAAACTAGATCATTAAGGATCTTTTGCTTTATAAATTTTTACATTAAATCTCATGAGAAACTATTACAATGTCATGTTCAAGGTTGTGAAACATGCTCTGTGGGACTGTTGAGCATATGGGAGCTGTGGAAGTTTTGGATGCAATTTTTATATCTTAAGCAGAAACTTCTTGGGTTGAAAAATGAAGCCGGTGCCAAAATCTGCAATTCCACTAATAGCCATGTGCAGAACTCCACATAAACGCCCACATTATGTCCAACTTTACTGCAAAAATAAACATGTTTACAGCCTACTGATAAAACCAGGGTCACCCTCTATGGATAGTTTCCCCCTTTAGGACCGGTGTGCAGTGGGTGCTCCCACTGACGGGTGTCTGCTGGACCTACAGCTCATTCAAGAAGTTTGTGCCTCAGTGCTGCGGAGTGAAACTCTGGAATTGTATTAGTTTGTCACTTACCATTAAATTAGCAGGTATGCATGTCTTTGCATTGCACTCATACAGTTTATGACCAACCAAGCTTACTAGCATTTGGCGATAACTTAGCACTCCAACCTGTTATCCAATATTTTCCATTTCTGCCTCAAAAACTTAATTCATTAAAATAAAACATGACAGTGCCCAAAATGCTAATGCTGAGGTTTCAAAATGCCGAGTTCATCTTTTATATACAGTCTATGGTCAAACTCACACTGGAAGTTTTCATTTGTAAATAACTTCATGTCACTCATGCTAGAGGAAATGAACCTGCTACGTTTTAGTTTTTTGGGTTTTTTCTGTAAAATTTTGGCTCAGTGATTAACGGGACTGACTTGGACACTTCTTACTGACAACACAGACATTTGTCCCTTATTGATTGCTGTTGCACTGTCACACCTCAGTTCGCTGCCATTATCAGTTACAAAAGCTCGCAAGTGGTCTTGGCAAAACTGTCCTGTCCTCAGAGCGCAGCTCATTGTTCGTACGTTTGGTACAGCATGTGTGACTGAGCATTTAAAGCTGGAGTGCCAGACGACAGGTTTGAGATGTTCTCTGCTGGTTATGAGCTATAAACTTCCTTTTCCTCCAGTAAACACAGGCTTTCGTGGTGTCTTCGAACAACAGCTGCAGCCTGCCAGGTCTCACATGTGTTCTCTAGTTAGTCAGTGTGTTGTGTAAAATCATTCAGCCGTTAGCTAAAATCTCTCTCTTCATAAAGTTTTAATCACCGGTGAATTTTGTCATCTTCAAAGAAGATACGGAGGATTGAAAATACCCGAAAAAATAAGCATTCAAAAACAATTTTTAAAAGAACGTTTTGAATTAAATGCACCAAAGGTAAAACCTGTAGACGGTACATGATTTACAGCACAACAGTCAACATTAAATCATTTACAGAATGTAAAATGATATTTCTAATTTAATTCACTTTCGTATTCTTGTTTCTCTGTTTGTAAATTTATTATTATTTATTTTTCTGTTTATTTTCCAAAAGCAATAAAAAAATTTGTTACATTATTTTATTATTGTTATAAAATAATGAAAATTAAATGCAAAATACACATTTTTCACATTTTATAAAGTAGTTGTGTCTTTTCTTTTTTTAAATATTACGTCTGGTGGCCTAACATGATATTTACACATTTATGGAGTATTTTATATTTATCAATTTATTTAATTATTAATCTTTCCTTTCCCCAACACCCTCAAACCCCTATTTTATAACCAAATTAATACAAGTCATTGCAAAAAAAAAGCCATCTATAAGAAAAGTTAATTGCACCACATTTTCAAATTTATTAAATGCCTGTTTTTATATTTTCAGGTGCATATTGGTGAATAATTATATGAGATGTTTTTACATTTATTTATTTTTTAACAGACACAAATCTACTTCTGTGTCACTTGTTTTGAAATCTTCAAACTGGCAGCAGTCTCATGTGATTGATTTGACTGATGAGCTTCAATACTCTGCAGTAACCAGATTCTCTGTACCTGTTCTTGTGTTAGGCCTCTATAGCGGATCCCACCATCCCTGGGAGGCCGGATGATGGCACAGCCTGGGGGAAAGGGGGGAAAAGGAGGAGGAGGAGGCAGAATGAAGGACGATAAGCGCATAGAAAGAAAGCTCTGTCTCCAGATAATGCAGATATATTACAGCAACATGATATATTATCAGTTTAACTGACGCCTTCCTCGCTGCACAAATTGCAGCGTTTCATTCGGGTCACTTAGCAATCTCTGCGGAGTTACTTCTGTCCATTACTGCATATTGTAAACAGACACACACACACACACACCGATTCCTGCACACAAATTACCTCCAGCTGATGAATTATGTATGGGCACAACGAGAGATGGAAGAGCACAGAGAAGAATCAGAAACAATAGCCGTGCCATTTCTGGATCTGAAAGAGAAGGAGGAGAGAGAGAGAGAGGTTTTAAAACGGGAAAGTGTGGCAGGGAAATCAAGAGTTTTGGGAGAAGACGGAAGAGACAAAAAAGAAATGGGTTACTGAGGAAATATCCTTACAGTATTAATGCCGCACACTCTGTTCTCAGATGCAGTCATTTTCGCTTCACTGCATCAACCTTTTGGCAAAAAAAAAAGCTCCCTTTTCAACCTGGCGGATAAGCTGCACGATGAGTCCACTTTTCTCTCTCTCTGCTTCTGTTTGTATTCACCGTGCAGACGGCTCAGGTTCATTTCAAAAGCCCTGTAGACAAGATTTCAGCTCAGGCTTTGATGGCTGACGCTGATATTTTTTTGCAAAGTGGATCCCCATTTCACACCAAAGCAAACTCAACAGACTTTTCTTCTCTTCCATAGTAGAAAAATATCCAGAATAGCTAGTATGGCTGTAGCTAGTGTGGCTGCAAAAGCTTTCTTTTTGCAAGATGAGTGCCGCTATTTGGTGTGTTGACAGGCTTTTAAGGAACAATGATTCAGCTGAGCAATTCACTGAAAGCACCGCACCGTCAACAGTTTGATCACAGATTTGGGTCCATAATGTCAGCAGCAGTTCATGCAGCCCTCAAGCAGAGATAAAGAGTGGGCTACAGAGGTCTGCACACATGCCCTGATTTTTTTTATTCACTTGAGGCAATTCATCAAACTTGGCAGCTCCCTTAGGACCCCAAAAGGGGCTCATACAACTTGATGTTCACATATGCTGCAATTCTACACCTGTAACCAGAGTTCAATATGGGAAATCTCTTTACACAAAGTGTGAATTTACTGGTCATAATGCACATCACAAAATGTCTTAGGTTAACTGAATTTAATGTGTACACAGACTTCATGACAACAGACAAAAAAGTATGTTTTTCTTACCAGAAAACAGTGAAAACACCCAGGAGTCCCAAAGCCCCTGGAGTATTGGCAGGCAGGGGAACACACACACACACACACACACACACAGACACACATACAGTATCGATGATAAACACCCTATATATAGCTGTTCATTTGCAGTTTTGAATCATAAACTCCGCTTTATGAGGTTGCCAAACAAAACTCATCCAAACACTCTCACGCTTAACATGACAGTACAGGGATTGATCAAGTGTGTGTGTGGGGGGGGGGGGGGGGGGGGGGGGGGGGGGAATGGGATGGGATGGGTGGAGGGGGATAACAAAGTAAAGCACCACAGTGAGGGAGACAGATGGCAGCGAGGCTTGCCTGTGGAAGGCAGACAAACTCTGCTGGAAACTTCATTAGCATTAACCAGTGTATTTTTAGAGTTCACTGACAAGAAGCATGCAGGAGGTAGACACCACCACTAGAGCGTGCATATTATAGGTGTGTGTGTTTGTGTGTGCGCGCGCTCTGGTCCCGTGTGGGAAGCAGGGAGAGAAAGAAGGACAGCTCAGCAGGAGTCATTAATATCAGCGATCACACACCCAGCCGGATAAAAGCAAACTGTGTGAGTGAGCAGCCTAACGGCACAAAGCCAGCCGACTCCATCAGCTGAGGCTGTCCTGGCACTGAGCAGACAGAGGGGAAAGAAGGGGGCCTGTCGACTGGCCTCGAGCTGGAAAAGCAATTAAGGCTTCAGCACCACGGACAGCGCCTCCAAAACACAACTACTACATGAAACATCTCTCACACCTCAATCCCATCCACTTCCAATGTCACTGCTGCATACACACTGCCTACACTTCCTTGTGCGAGTCTGCTGCCGGAAGCTGCGCTGGATAAGGACTGATCCGGCCCATTTCAGCACCACAGTGATGTTGAGAATAGCCCACAGTGGGCTATTTTCAGGCGGTTCCACATGCACACACACTCAGATGCTGCATTCTGTGCATGGCTGAGCATGAACTACAGAGACGTGAGGGTCACAGTAAGGGTGCCACCAACCGTAAGCTGCCGGTAGTTGCTCGTCGGGTGTTGACTAGGGAATCCGTGATGGCCTGTAGAGGAAGGCCGACCATATTAACAAGCCCTCCTATGAAAGGATGTCCAAATATAATGTCATCAGCCTAAAGCGGCTGCGTCTTGCATAAACAGGAGCAGAGCTCGCATTCTGTCTCTAAAAGGCTTTAAAATGTAAATGCAAACAGGCTGGATCAAAACAAATCAGGCCCATCGAAAAAATGAACGCCTCTTGCATTCAAATGTGACAGCTGTCTAGATTCCGTGCACGGGAAATGGAGCGTCTCCTGAATAAATGCGCTCTAACATCGCGACCTACAGCACTAATAGCATGTAGCGCCCTGAAGCAAAGCTGTAGCATGTGTGTACTTACTATTAGTTTCGATGCGCTCAGTGAAGATAAGAGTAAGTCCTCCGGGTGGGACCCGCCAGGGGAAAAGCCCGGTGTCAGATTATTTGGTAGAAATATGCATCTTTGCAACAATTTTTATGGCTCTGTTAATATGGCTATACAGTAAATGTGCAAGCTGCTCCGTGCCTAAACAGAATCTTACAAAAACGAGACGGCTCTCATTCGGATTGTTTCCGTGTACTGCAGTTACGCATGGCCAAGAGAAGAGATGACAAAAAAATCCATAGAGAAAAAAAGTCCCATACATCCACTATATACAAACGCAAGCCCACCATAAACGACGAAACAGCGATTCACCACACTCCCCTCCTTTTTTTTCTCTCCACCTCTACGATCTTGAGCTAATTCACGTCGTCATGATGGAGACGCGCCGTGCGTAACAGCCCCCCCTCACGCATTTATCGCATCTTTTTTCTTTCCCTCCTTTCCAAGATGAAACATGCCGACGTCTAAAGCCCCACAACAGCAAAAACATAGCACAATCTTAAGAAGCGGCTTTGGATTTATGAGCTTGCAGATTCAGTCCACGTGGATAATTATCTCGACGGCAGGAAGACAAGAGGAGGTGCAGATATGGCGCTGTGGTATTAACGCGGTCTACATTGTTAAGCCTTTCTCTAAAGCTCTTTGGAGCTTAAGTCAACGAGGCAGCAATCAGTCATCCCCACAACACTGGTCATCTATTAAATCAGCCTCTCCCCGTTCTTCCATCTTCTCGCGATCCTGCTTCATATTTATATGTCTGCTGAATAATTGAAGCAAGGCGAGGGAAGAAATTCACAAATTCCCATCCCACTGAATTCAGCATGAAAGAACAGAAGGCCAGGCAGCAGGATCTGCTTTTATTGATTACAGGTGTGACAATCCAATCCGACTAACTCACAAATGCGATTCAGAGGGTGAAAAGTAACTGTTAAGACAGCGGTGAAAAGTGAGGTTTTTCAGATAAACTGACAATAATGAGACTTTAAATATGTCTGCGATACTCAGAACATCTGTACAGCAAAGATTCAACATCTGTACATGTCAGTATTTTCCAGCTTTGTAATAATTACACAAATTTACAAGTCTTTCTTTTCTGACTTCATTGTTTTGCTTCTTTGACAAAGTACAATCATAAAAGAACCAAAAAAAATCATCATCAGAACTCTTTCAATTCTTGTCAAAAATCAGTCAGGCTGTTAAAAATATTTGAAAATCATAAAACGGGCACTCACTTCATATTTAAATGGTTCCAAACTGAGATTACAACAAACTACTACTCAAGCTAAATTTGTTTGTGTCAAGGCACACCTCAAATTACAACAAGGGCAAAAAATATACACAAATGTAAACAATATCCAAATCATCTGGATCATGACACTCCAGTGTTACAACACCAAGTTAAATAAAACAAATAAGGCTGATTGTGTCAGTGTTTGTTTCAGCAAGCAGCGCTCAAAAACCGAAATGATGGAGTGCATGCTGCCTTAAGACTCATTTCAGGGATTTTCAAAAAACGCATTCTCTCGTGCTAAAACGTCCAAAAAAAAAAAAAAAAAAAAAAAAAAAAGCACAACTTGCAGCATGTTACAGGAAATAAACACATGGAACAAGGATTCAAACATGCTTTCACTCTGCACTGACAAAGAAACGTTTTTTACATTCTTCCCTACTCGCTGAGGAGGTGGGGATCTCAGGGGCCCTGCGACCTTCTACCTTGAAGCAATCGCTGATGAGACTCGACTCGACTGGAGAGGAAGCAACAGAGGAGGACGAGGGAGAATGTTTTTACCAGTCTCACCAAGTTAGATCAACGATTAGCCTGGGAAAGCAAAAAATGATGCCTTTTTAAATATGTCTGTTCAAACAAGGCTTTTCATCTTTCTTAGCTGCTCCTTCATGCTCAAGGAACAAATTCTACCCAGAATCCTTCAGAGGAGTAAATATACTGAATACTTGTCCTGCAGGGATGTAAGCTCTGTAGATCCTGTAGTGTTCTAACTAGGCTACACTGTTTACTGTGTTCAGCTTTAGAATAATGTGCATGTGCTTATTTACACCCATCGCTGCAGCTTTCCTTCTTTTTCACTTAATTCCCTGTCTCATACTTTTGTTTGGTACCTTTTTAATGAGGGAAGTTTATCCTAGTGTGGATTGCTGTTTTTATTTTTGCATTGTTTACAGCAGCTGTTTCTATGACAGCCTCACAAACTGAAGCTTCGGTGGTGCTGCTTATAGAACTGTTGCTGGCGCTCTTTGGCGCTCGTTTCCACCAGCTTGTCTCTCTTATTGGTCACTCCGGTTTTTTCTTTCTCCCCTTCATCCCCGGTGATGCTCCCCACGTCGCTGAGATTCCCGAGGTGCTCGATGGAGTCGTATTTCTCGAGGTCAGAAGCAATGGTCTGCAGGCTGAAGACTGAAAGGGAATCCGAGCCGGCTCGCTCCCTCTCCCTCTCATGCTCCTTCTCCTTGTATCTCTCCAGCAGGTCGATGGATGCGTCCACTCCATCCCTTCCAATGGCGCCGCCACAGGCTCCGCCTTCAGACTGAACCTTGATGTCAGATTCTGCTCCGACAGGGGGGCTCCGCCCGACACAGATAGAAGGGCGTCCTCCCCCCTCGCCCGGGTCCCGCCCTCTCTGAGCATGGATCTGCTCGCTGATCTGCTCCAAGTTCCGCAGGGCGATGGAATAGCGGGTCTTCACTTTGGCTACTTGCTGCTCCAGCTGCAGCACTTTGGCCTTGTGCTCCTGGAGTCACACAAAGCAACTTTCATCATCAATTTCAACATTGATTTCATGCCAGTAGGAAAATAACCTCCCAGTAACCTCCAGTAAATCCATAAAATACTGAATATATTATAGAACTTTTGCCAAATCAGCAGATAAAGCTTTCTAAGTGCAGGAAACACTAAACAGAAGGTGTCTAAACAGAGGTCTCACTGGGCTCTTTGTGTTACCTCCAGTATGTGGTTGAACTGGGCCTTGAGCTCAAAGTAAGGTTTGGACTTGATGATGACTCTCTTGAGGGACTTCTGCAGCATCTGCACACGCGCCTCGGCCTCCTGACAGGCGTGCGTGACACGCATGTGCTCCCTCTCACTGCGCAGACGCTCTTCTTCGGCTTCGTTCACCTGCGAGAGACACAGGAGACGGACGGTATTATAACAGTAACAGGAAACGGCATTTCTCTTAATGCAAATATGACTGGTTTTATCATAAACTTTGCCTTGATCTTCATTCCCAACCATTTAGCTCACTGTTCATTCATTAGTTCTTATTTTCTTAAAAAAGTAAAGAACTGAAAAGGCTTCTTGTTTAGTTTGTAAATGCCTGTCCACAGAGTTTCAGGCACACTCTTTATTGTTGTCTTTTCTAAATTTCTGGAAACATTTTAATAGCACAATAAAGCACAATTCAAGACTTTGTACTTTCTGTGTCTGCGCTGCCAAATGAAATGACACTTGATTATTTGTTTAAAAGGCCCTCACACAAACTCTAAGTAGTCAAATACATATTACACCAAAGCGTCAGGAAGTTATGGATTTTTAGGATATTCCTTTAGACACAAGCTACCAACCATCAAGACCAACTTCAAGGCCTGAACGACTTGGTAGACTTGAGAAAAGGAGAAGAAAAATTAAGAACAAGACAAACGTTGGGCCTTGACATCGGTTACCTACAGGTACTCGGCTGATAACTGTCCACTTAGATTCCCTAGTTAGAGTAACATCGATCATTCACCTCTCTTTCAACATCAATGGGCCTCCACTAAGCAGCTATTCTGACTCTGACACATTATGGTAGGTGTTTATTGCCAGAGACATTAAAAAAATAAAAAATAAAATTCTGCCACAGCAAAGATGATGGTAGATGAAATTTTTATCTTATTTTACTCGTGATCCCATAAATGCAGTTTTTTTATATCCGAAATTTGAGGTTCAATGTTTTTAAATATTCAGCTATATAATCAGATTTCAAATATTTGCTGACACAGTGGGGTGCCACGTGTCAGGTCTGTCTACTAGTGTAGTTCTCCGACATAAGCCAAAGCATTTGGTGCAAACAAAAGGTGACCTGTGAGGATGAAGATGTAAGTGAATGAAAGTGCCCTAATGGCGGTTCCTCCGGGGGTCACTTAAGCTTGACTCTAAAAGTGAGTCGGTGCCTATAAGCTCCCATGTTAACATGCACAGTTTTACAGGTCAAAGGGTGTATGCAAGGGTGTAGCTGATTTGTGTCTGCTAGGCCTCATTTCAGCTAACTAGAATCACTGAACGGACCTTTTCACCGTGTAGCGCCGTTACTGCGTCTTCTTAAGGAACTATACGTCGTTCTGTGCAGTACAGCCAATCCAAGGAGTTTGTACTTTGGTTTTGCTGAGTGAAAATCAAAACCGGTGGCTGATGCTGCCGTGACTTCGTCCATCTTTTTATTGTGATATAGATAATTTGAGTAAAGTTATGTTTGCAGGACTACAGCAGCCAGGGTAACAGCATTATACTAGCTTTCTATTGGCTACCAAGACACAGAGTGATAACATAATGTGTTTTTAAACAGTTAAAGGCATTCACAGTTTTCACTAAAGTTGGCGAGATTTTCAGAGCACTCATTTTGCTCTCTCTAAAATCTGCAGATGACTGAAACTACTGTAGCAATATCAAACTAGTCCAGCTATCAATATAATATCTAGAAGCCAGATCACACTTAGATCTAAACTGTGCTGTAACTGAAAGGAAGAAACAAGTCAAGCATTTACAGAGTTCCGTGACACTCAAGGCCAAGAAAATCATGTCATCCATGCTGCATGTTACAGCTGAGAGGGCACTGAAGTTCACCAGCTGTCTGTATCTTTTCTGTTGAGTCTGGCAATTGTAACCCAGCAACAGTGAGTTTGTGAGTATATCCAAGGCTGCCAAGAATCACTACACTTATCTGCACACTTATTTTTCCACAAACAATGCAGACAGCAGAGCAGCGAGATCACGGAGAAAAATAATGGTGTGCATGTGTGCACGCAAAAAACACTGGAGAGCAAAAACCTAACAAGAATAATCAGACAAAATTCTGACTCTACCCAGATAAACTCAGAGATGACTGAACTCTGCATTGTTTGGTAAAACTATAGCAACCTTGTTGAGGTGACAAATAGAAATGAAAGCATTCTGTTTAGCCGTGCATCTTAAAACTGCTCTTCTACCTTGGCGGTAGCGTGGTTGAGCATCTCCTGCCAGGTGGGATCCAGGGTGTTCTTGCCATCAGCCAGCAGGCCCTGCTCGGCCACATAGACCATCTCCCTGGCAGCTGTGTGCATGGAAACGGCTCTCTCGTAGCTCAAAGCTGCCTTCTGAGTCTCCTGCTGTGCCTATGGAGAGCAGACGCACCTTTAACAACCTACAGCAGTGGACTACGACAAGGACACAACACCCCTGTTCTGTTCAATCCAATTACAGTCATCTCTCTGCTGAAATGAGTTTGCATATCATAGTTTTTATATTCAAAACGCTTCTAGGTCAATGCAATTACAGGAAAACAATACTGCCTTTCAGTCTGAATGTGTTAGGTAACTTTTAATGCATGAGACGTTGTTCCCTGCATATCTCGAACATGTGATTTCTATGTGAAGGACTGGGGTCAAATTTTCAGCAAAAATGAAAAGAATGTGACGCTTGTTGTAATTCCCAGGTGCTTTGTCTCAGCGCCTTTCTTCTGCTCCCAGCGTCAAAA